TAAGAAAAAAAATCAATAATAATTTTAAAATCTTTCCATACACTGAACAGACTACAATTTTTAGAGGCTGACATTTACATATATCCATATTTATCAAACTGCCAAACTCGAATCAGGAGAATTTTCTCACAGGCAAAAATAACTTTTAAACGATCAAAAAAAAAAAAAAAAAAAAAAAAATGAAAATTCTTTATTACTTATGTAATAACATAAGAACCTCCATGTATTTTAGTAATTTTTTGCACGAGAAAAAAAAAGAATGATAGTTCATAATCGCAAAACATTATTTATTTTAGGTTTGAACTTCAAAAGCATTTCAGTACTTATCTTCAAAATCAATCAATACATCTAAACAAATTAATTACATTTTTTCTTTTGTTCTGGTGGAAATTTTGATCACTGGTGACTGCTTTAAAGTAGATTCAAAGCAGTTATTCTTTTTAGCGATTCTGCGGTGAAATGTTGCTTATTTCTGCAGAAATTTACAGTGGTTTCCTCTATTGCAAGGAAATCTCACAAGCATATGTTTTAAATTGAGTTTAAAGACAAAAAATATCATGATTTGTTTACAAAAACTATTGGAACTTGGAATACAACAAAACAGATGCATGTGAAAATGGTGACATTGCTAGTTAAAATCTAAAAATTGTTATGCAGATGGTTGGCAGATTTTGGCACAGAAAAATCAGAAATTCGGTAACTTTCAGTAAGAGGTTATATTAACAGGTAACTACAATTTTTTTCAGTGGCAAACTATATCTGAATGTATAGACACTAATTCCTCAATGAAAGCTGCATCAAAATATTCACATGCAGCCCCCTCCCACAAGCAAAAAATACTTTTTTGCTGAATAACTAGTTAATTTTGCTTTAATAACATTTTTGCTCTTTATTTGTACAGTCAAAAGTCTTCAATCCAGACTTGTCAGAACTTTGGCGATTCCGGATTATCGGCTTTTCCGGATTATAGATCATCAGTTTAAATATGGTAAGATGGCATGCAGAAATTATAAAATTAAAAATATGAAACCATAATTTATGAAATAAAGAGCAATTATGATCTAAAGGGTATCAAAATTTACCCAAAAAAAAAAAACCTTAATATTTATGTGTTTACTTTATTAAACATTTCTTTCAATGCGCGCATGCGTATAGCATACATTCCCATAGTCAAAATTAGAAAATTGCAACCAGAAAACTATTTGATGTTTATTCATGATATTTATAATTACGAGGAATTTGATTTAAATCATATCAAAGACGGAGTACATCGAGATGAAATACTACATTTAATAAGGAATTATAAGCCAAATAAAATAAAAACATCTGCCCTGAAAATATGGATAGTGCTGACAGATCAACTTCCAGTTCATTGTGCACTGCAACGTCTCCCCCCCCCAAAACACACACACGCAGAGAAGCGTGAAATTGATAAACAGATTTCGGAATGGTTAGAGAAACAAAGAATATGCCTCTATCCATTTTTTGCAGCAATTCCACTTTTTGTTTGATGGACATCGAAACATGCTTTCGCTTTTTAGATCCTTTGGCAGCTCCAGAATCGGAAATTCTTTTTGACATAATTGAAAGTTCAAGCTTACTTTCATAAAATTGCTCTAACAGTCAGCAAAAAATAATAAGCGGGATCCAATTAGAAGATTAAGGAACAACGCAATCTGCAACATTAACTGAAATAGATAATTAGATAATTTTAGCTTAGCTTATACCGTCCGTTATACATTAAATGCGCATGCGTAAATGCATTATGCGTTTACGCATGCGCAGGAAGTTTGTAGCTTTGAGCTCCGGATTATAGATCATTCCAGATTAAAGACTTTGACTGTATAATTTTCCCCCTCCAAATACAACTCATGTTATCTTAGTGCTTCTATGTATGCGATTTGAGAGCACTTTTCATTCCATCACAAGAAACGAAAACATAATACCACATGATACACATCCCAAACCTATCACATATGTTGTGGCACATAAAACCATTCCACCCCTTCATGAGAAATCAAAAAGATGAACATAATGAATGATTAAACAAAGTCAACATATAAATTGAAATGTAATGTTTTGAATATGAACAACAATACGAATATGAATTCAACATTATCAATATGATTACAACATGTCCGGGTATCGAATATGGCATTATAACACACTCACCCAGCTTCACACAATGAAGCCTACTTCTCAACTAGTTTGCACATGTTTCACAGGCTGCACCTAACGTAATATACCATTATATCATGACGGGCTCATTTTACATGCCGCACCCTATATTTCCTTGACAAAGTATAACAAAAATGATCTGCATATGATTTTTGAAAAGTGCATGATCATTTTACTTTTCTTGCAGGTATAATTAATTTTAGGAATAAGTTGGCAGTCGTCGAGAGAATGTGTTGTTTATCGGTTTGGCACTTTTGTATATTTAGAAAAGCACATTTCACTTTAAACCTAAAAAACAACTCTGCAAGACAAAATGTTAAAAAGAGAGAATAGTCGACCCATGATACTGTCATGATGGCTGCGGCTGCTATTTATAACAAACAGCATTAAACTGCTGTAGATTAATAAACAGTACATACTGTCATTTCGACAGTATCTACAAATATAATGAATCAAAAATACAAGATTGGTAGGAAAAGAGTAAATCAGTTTGCTGATTGATAGTTTATTTTATTTCCAAAATGTTTTTTGTGCTTTTATGATATGAAAAACTTGTCCCAGTTCTAACTAAAACACAGAAGTCAGAGATACAGATGTATCTTTAGTGAGGTAGCTTATGCTATCTCACGTGCATTGGTCCATCAAATGATAGTCCAAAGATCAATCAAAGCACGAAGAAATCTATGAAAGCTAAAATTAGCAAGAATATGCTAATCCATTCTCTAATTAACTCTCCAATAAAGTCCATAATCTGGACTCGTCAAAATTTCGGTGATTCCGAATTAGGGGTTTTTTCGGATTATAGATCATCAATTTAAATCTGGTAAGATGGCATGCAGAAATTATACAATTAAACATATGAAACTGCAATTTATGAAATAAAAAGCAATTATGATCTAAAAGGTCTCAAAATTTACAAAAAAAAGCTTAATATTTATTTGTTTACTTTATTAAACATTTCTTTCAATGTAAGTTATTTAGGTTGCTTCATTTTTTGTGCTAATACTTTCTCTTTAATTCTATAAACAGACATAATTTCTTGTTCAGTTACAAAGTTCCACTGTTCAAGCCCCGTAATTGCCCCAATACCGACTAACTCGTCAATCAAAATTTTTTCGTTTTCAATAATTTCTCTGTCACTTTCTTTGCTATCGGAAGCGCGCATGGGTAAATGCATGTGCGCATGTGTAAACGCTTTTAAGTTTGTTGCTTTGAGGTCCGGAATTATAGATCATTCTGGATAATAGACGCCCGGATTACGGGCTTTGTACTGTATTGCAAATTTATACAAATATTTGCGTTTACTTGATTGCACATTGGTTTTGGAGAATTTTTATAATGCTGTATATATATATATATATATATATAATCATATATATTTGTTTATTTGGAGCATTTTACATAATAATTTTATTGTATATTTTTGCAAATTTGTTTCCACTTTTTGTAATTGCATTTATTTCATATATTGTGTAGTAGATCTTATAATTATGCATCAACTGATGTTTGAATTGTAAAGCTAGCTCAATAAGAGATGAATAAAAGCAGAAACTCTACTAACAACCCTAGAAAATTTGCTTGTTTTTCATGTAAATTTTACAGGCTTAGTAATATACCAATGAGCCCCACACAAAAAAAATTAGATATGCAAAAAGAATTCAAGATTAAAATTAGACCTTGGAAAAAATACTTCTTCATATAGAGTGACACAAAAAAAAAAAAAAAAAAAAAAAAAAAAAAAAAAAAAAAAAACGAGAACTTTTTAACAATCCAATAAAAGCAAGACTAATGGAAGAAAAATATTTTATTCATAGAAATTGAAACCTTAAAATTTTCAATTTAAGAAACATTAATGGACTTCATCATTTTTTAAAAATTACACCCTTTAGATGGCCATCCTTCTGTATGAATGTGTTTTTGAAATCTGCTGTTGAGATTCCTCATTGACAGCTGCAACATCTCAGCTGGGATTTCATCATGAATTCTCTGTTTTAACCCATCCAGAATTCTTGATCGAGTCGCGTACACTTTACTCTTGAGATAGCCCCACAAGAAGAAAAAAACATAAACGTACAAATCTGGTGACCTAAAGGGCCAGGGAACGTTACGAAATCTTGAGATCACACATTTACCGAACAATTATCGCACAGCTTCCATTGATTGCCATGCAGTGTGTGATATCGCTCCATCCTGTTGAAACCAGGTTTCTTGAATGTGTGAAATATTGTTCAATTCAGTTGTAATGAAAGGTTATAACATCTCCTTGTAACGGTATGCATTGACAATTACTGTGATCCCTTGTTCATTTCCAAAAAAATAAGGTCCAATGATCCCATGTAATTAAACAGCACACTGTACTATCACCTTACTAGCGGCACTCACGAACTTTGTGATTTTGAATAATTACGATTTATGTCTGCTGCCTGTTCCACTGATGAATGGTTACTAAAATGGTGGAGTGTTTACTTGCTCAAGGTCACTGTCCTGCACTACTGCCACCTGTTCATGACTGCCACTGTGTATTTCAAAAATTCCGTTATTCTATGTCTCCCTGTACTTCATATATCCCAAATAAAGATTTTTTCCTTTAATATATATAAATTATTAAAGTCAAGAATTCTACAGAAAACTCTGTATTGTACAGATATAAAAATTACTTAATATTTTACAACTTCTTTTCAAAAATTAATATATTGCAATGAATGAATAAGGCGAAAAAAGTCACGTTTATGTAATAATTTGCATGAAAAATTTTAAGTTTTAAAACAAATTATTAGTTATGTCATTGCTTTTAGTGACATATGAATAAATTTACATAGCAATCAATTTAAAAATATAAAAGAAAAATAAATAACACTCACTTCTGTAATAGGAGTATCAATTACTCTTTTATCACCATACTTCTTCCACAGTCCTCGACTCACCTTAAAAGAGAAAACTTTTAAGACACAGAAAAATGGGTAAATTTGTAAAATATACAAAGAAACCAGTTTACATTTAGTAAGAGGTCACATTAGAAAATTTTAAACATAAAAAAGAATTAGTAAATTAACACAGCTGTAATACAATTTAATGCACTGAATTACTTTCCTACCAGCATGGTGGTCCTTTTCAAAAACAATATTTTTTGTACACTTCAGGATATTTATTCTACCTGATACTAAAAGAACTGCATAGGATGCCATATGCAAATCAGCTGGCTGTAACTCCACCCAGATATTGGCTCTCGAATTCATGCATCTGGTTATTCCATTCAAGAGCAGCCCACAGGAATGGTGGGCTTAAGTATGAGGACGTAAGGAGCTACTAAAAGTTATCTGGAAAACCAATTAATGGCATAAAGCATTACCCTTCATTAATAAACTACTCCTTTCAGTACCTGCAAAGATGATCAAAGAAGCAGGTGATCAGCCAGTATATTCTGATTCTGCCAAACATTATTTCAGAACCTTTCCAGATTCACGAAGGAACCTAATGAATTCCACTGTATGTTCTCCACACCACTATAACTTCCTTGAACAGGACAAAACTTGGTAAGATTGATCCATGGACTATCCCATTAATAACAAAGCCGCATCCTTTCTCAGCTTTGTGCAAAAACGAATGGTACTCATCTGACTACCTATTTGAGAGCTATTAAGCAAAGGCCTGATGTTTCTACAACAATCTCAATGTTGTCACCTAAGACTAACACATATGCTTTTACACTGATGAGCCAAAATATTATCTGAATCAAAATACTACTGAATAATGCATTATGCGACCTTTGGCTTGCAAAACAGTTGCAACTTGCCTGGGCATGGATGCCACACGTTCTTCATAGATGACTTGAGACTTGTTATACCAAATGTCTAAACAGTGGTCATGCAAAGTGGACATAGTGGTGTTTGAGTTCTGAGCTCCGGCTCCATGAAATCACAAATGTGCTCTATCAAGTTTAAGATCCAAACAGTTAGGTGGCCAGGACATTAACTGGAATCGATCCTTATGTTCTTCAAACAACTCTAACACAATTTAAGTCTTGTAACATGGGGCATTGTCCTCCTTTCAAGATTCCATTTCCAATTGGGAAGACAGACACCATGTAAGGGTGCAACTGATCTGCAGTTTTGTTCTGACAGACTGCAGCTTTCACAGTCTGTTCTACCACAATTAATGGTCCCAGAGCCAACCATGAGAACATCTCTCGAAGCATAAAACTGCCACCACCAGCCTGTTACACAGGGTGGAGCAACTGTTTGGCTGGAAGATGATGTACCCTGACATGATCATCGACGTGATGAATGAGAAACTGATTCATCCAAATAAGAAACTGCCTATATATCATATCTTGATTCATATCAAGCTGATACTGACAAAATTCAAAGGAAATTAATTCTAAATGCCATGCATAAATGAAATGAATTGCCGTTAAGAAGTTGAATCTAAATCCTTCAAACCAATTTTTGAGAATGTAATCCTTTTTTTTTTTTTTTTTCTCTGCATGTCATAACTTCACATCTATACTTCGGTGCTTCCTTTGAACTGAAGTACAGCTTCATTCAGTTCACTAACTGAAAGAAAGTGCAAGTTTTTTCCAGCACTTTTTTTCAGAGTGAATTATTCCTCTTTCCTGAAGAAATCTTATGGCAGATGTTTCATCATTAGGTAAGTCCCAAATTTTTATATCCATGGTAAATAGAACAGTAATAAAAATAGAAGTGACCATTACATCTTTAGAACTTGTATTCTCATTGCCAATTTTGAAAGGCATACAATAGTCATCAAATGTCTGGATCTTAATGATCCAGATCAATGGATCAAAAACTAGGGGTAAAAAAAAAAAAAAAAAAAAAAAAAAAACCAACTAGGGGTCCAAAAACAATTTGTTACAGTTGCAAGGTTACCTAAAAACTGCAAAACAGGGGTTTAAATATACTATAAAATACATATTTCTGAGAGTTTATGGTCACACTACAGCTTGAGCACTTAAAATGGGGTCACGATCCTAAAAAAGATTTAAAACAAACTGTGTACATGTAAAACAAGACACTATTAAACAGGTCAAAATGAATATCAATCCTGCCATTCAGCAAATAAACTAGAAAAAATTCCATTAAGCTGCTAGGATCATGGTAAAATGTGTAGAAAAATTATTGAACTAGAAGCGTGTCACTTCCAATATATGATGTAAGCAAAGTATGTCTATAAAATATGTACATTTACTATTTCTATAATGGATTCAAATCGAATCCCCCATATATACTTGCTATTAAGACCATCTCATACCTTTCAAATGCCAACCCTCATATATACTTGCTATCAACACTATCTCATACCTTTCAAATGCAAACATAAAAACGCACTTCAATAATTACCTTATATGCACCATCATACATTGCTACTTCTTCACCTAACAAAAATACTCTTTCATCCTTTTCCATTTCTTCATCCATTGCTGCATTTAATGCATCTCTCACAGTAATCTAAATTTGACCAAAAAAAAAGCTATAATAATAATTAAAATAATAATATAAATAGCACATTTTTATAAAATACAAACAAAATACTATCATTATGTAAAGGATCAGCTGACTACTACATAACATTTACCTGCGCTGATTTTGAGTTACTAGTTGAAAATGAGGCTAATGAAGGAGCCTAAAAGATAAAATAGAATTTTATAAAATAGAATCATTTGATAGAATTTTTAAGTCACAGATATAGAAAGATACATTTAAAAGATAACATTTAAATAACAACAAAACACTTTTTATGCTGGCACATAAAACTTTACACTAATTAAGCACAGGCATACAAAAAGGTTGAAAATACAATTCAGAACTTTTTACATCATTTATTAAATGCAGAAAAATATCTGTATAAATAGAAAGCTTCTTTTTAATAGTCCATATCAGTTCTCAATATGATTATGCATAATAATGCACTATGTATATTACACATTATACAAATTTAATGCATAACATTACATATTTAATGCATAACATGGCCAAAATAACCCATTCACTATGTTGTTAATGCCAAATAGAATCTTTAAAATATGGAGGAAATGTAATAATTTATGTAAAATATATTTAGCAATTACATTTTTCTTAATCATTTTTGTTAAAACAATTTTTATTGATGCCTGCCACAAAAAATAAAAAAAATAATTTGAACTAGTTTAGACCTTTAACTTCACATTCAACTGATCCATGTTATGCATCAATGTAAAGTTTCCTGATCAAGCACAAGGCCAGTGCCAGATCTGGTGCAACTGCACCGAGTGGCAGAATTTAGGAGTGAAGATCATTATGTATTAATTTAACACCTAATAAAGAGAAAGAATTGAACATTAAATTAAAACATAATGATTTTTTGTATTATTTCATAACATTTGAGAAACAAATGCAATGGATTTAGAATTTTCGGGTGAACTATTAAAATTAAATAACATAGAATGGTTCATCAGCTAATTCTGGACTAACAGAAACTCAATGGGTTTCCAAGGAAAGAAAGGTTCAATTAAGTCTGACCTACATCTTGATAATGTCGAATCAGATTTTAATTGCATTCCTCTGCTTATATTTTTTGGTTATTTTTGTATTTCTTTTTTCTGTATTTCTGCTGATTTGATGAATATTAGTTGAATTTTACATATTTATGTGGAAATTTGAATTTTATTGGTTTTTAATTTAATTCCTTTCATGTGTTTGTAGATTTGGTCCTAAACTTCTTTCTTTTTGATTATTGATTAATTTTAAGCAGCAAATGGTATTGAGATAATTTGTTTAAAATAAATTTTGTAATACTGTTGTATATCAATTTACTTTGTTAAAGTAAGTTTGTTGTTATGATCATAAAGTGAAAGATACCAATGCTAAAGATAAATTCATGTAAAATATAGTGAAAATACAAACATGCAATTCCTATGAACATACTAAAGGCACTGCTTTAAAACTAGTTAAAAGTAATAGAAATAAAATTTACTTAACAAAACCTATAAAAATATATCACTATATTCAATAATGGCAAAGCTTGTTGGATTTCTAGCATGGCAACTCTTGTGGCAGAGGCCCCCAACATTGGCCAAGCAGATAAAGTTTACTGGTAGCTCATCTCATGTTCAACTAAACTCCTTGTCTCCTGACTCCACCTCCCTCATCTAGCTCTCCTCAGCACATATGAGGATGCTGCCATTTCAGAACACAGCACCAAGATTGACCAATGAACACTCTACACTCACAAATTTTGCTCTACAGGCATAATTTTCACCTTGCGCATCTTTCATATGCCTCATGTTTAGCATTTAAATTCATCTTGCTACTGTATTCAGTCCTTCATGAAATGCTATCAATGTTCAAAAAATAATTTCGTGTAACATATAGGAATAGGGCAATTTTCCCAGGTACCCTTGAACCAGAAGTTGTTACTTCACAGATGGTCCCAGGCAAAAAGGCTGACTGCATGTTTGGTTTTTGTGGTCCTTCCTCCATAGGTTCTCCACAAAGGCATCACTTCTCTTAGCATCCCTCACGTGCTTTGCCATATTCAAATAACTTAACCTAATTTGTGGCACAGTAACTTGACCTTTCTGTGCCACCTGGAAAGCTGTAAAAGTTTGTTCTCATTACTTATATGTAGAAACAGTGATAGTGGTGGAATTCAAAAATTTTAAGAACCATTTTATTTATTGTCTACACAAACAATAAAATTGGCAAAGAATAATTTGCTTAACAAATTTACGTAATTTTAAAACTGTTCTAAACAAAAAATAATTTAAATGGTTCAGCTATAGTGGCTGCATCCAGCACTAACTGATGAGTAAACCAAATTTGCAATAAAGTTGTGTCTTTACATTATGGTAACTTGGCGTTTTTTTGGCGAAAATTTGGCGACCAACTCTCCTACAGCAACCCTCTATTTTTTTTTCCCCCGCCGCCATTTTGTCTTCACGAAGTAAAGACATGTTTCTTTTCTTTTTATCTACTGAACACTTCTTCCAACAATCTACTAGCCGAATTACACTTATGCTAGAAATTTTATCTAACAAAACTGCTTAATCATGACAAATATTCACTGCAAAATTGGGAAAAAGTGCACAATACCATACTCCTTACGCGTTTTTCAAAATAACACATACACATAAACCATGTACACGCCGACTTATTTTACTAAATAGGAGGACAAATGAAAAATCGCTGGAACTTTACGTACACAATCAAGCTAAATGGATATTCATAATTTCTTTAAACTCATATCGTGCTTAAACCTTAAAAACAAATAAAGCTTATACAAATAAAAAACAATCATTGTAACGAAAAATTTCGGAAAATTCATTACTAAACATTACAAAAGTTTTCGGTGCATAAGAATGAATTTCAGAATTCAACTTTCGAAGGAAACTTGGAATTCTTAAGAAATGCACTCACCCTTATAAACCTATGATATTTTAAAAGTGTATGGCATAAGTTCTTATTAAGTAATTTTCGACTTAAATCCATCATTAAAGGTCTAACCGCGCTGCCCTTTGATACTATTGCCAGATCAAAAAGATACAGCAGACTGCGTGATAAAAGTGTGATGGCAGAAATCCAGCATTAAATTATTTATTGCTTATCAACCAGATTATTTTACTTTTTCGCGCTGGTCCTTTGGTACTGAGGCAATTTTAATAAATCAAACATAAAAATTATTAATTAAGTTTTCTCTGGCAAAATTACGGAATTAAAATGTTCGCCCTTTTCATTTTGTTTTGTGTCAGACGTCAAAGTTTGTAAACCCGCTTTTGTTGAATTTTTGGTTAAAAACTAACAAGTTTGAATTTGGTTTGGTTTGGCTTATTTGACTATGTTAAAGCAAACTAGGGCAAGGCCAACTAGATATCTACAGGCCTGCTCCACCGATTTGTGACGTCACAATCGAAGGCGATCGTTCCCACGGTAGACGCAGCCGACTGTTTCATTTATGTAGTACGCAGCGTTTTATTTCCAACACAAAAGTCAAGTTAAATTAATTTTTACAACTAATATTTCCAATTTTAGGAATAATAACGTACTATGTTATATCGTAATGATATTTAAATACTAAATACCGATTTATTAAACAGAAAATAAAAATAAGATTTGAGTGATATTGTAAATTTAGCAGAGCTGATTTAAATTAAACTGAAACATATCTGAACTTTTATACGGAAATAAAATGGACACAAAATTATTTATAAAAAATTATACGGTATGATAATATCAATGAAAATATAACATATGTAATGAACTAAACATGAGATGTTTTCATTTTGTAATAAAAAGAAAAAATATGTTAAAGCTCTCAGATGATTTTATATTGCTTAAATTATGAAGACTGATTTATACTGCTTGAATACTAAACAAACACATATAGTATTTCATAATAAAATTAATATCAATTCATTAATTCTAATATAATATTGCTTTATAATTATTTTTCGGTGCAATGATATTGAAGCAAAATGAACTCTTTCTTTTCTTTATTCCCATAAAGATTTTTCAAGATTCAATCAGAGATCCTAAGATGCTTTTTAATAATAAATACACATGTGGACATTAAGTGAAATACATAAATCTTATTAATACATTAATATATTAAAAGTATATCTGAAGTTTAGTCTACATATTGAAAAAAGATTCATTCTAAAGATGTTTTATAGCAAAAACATTACACAGAATATTCAAAAATATATTTCAAGTTCTCTTAAAAAAAGCAAGATCATAACTATGCAATCAATCCCAATGAGCATCATATCATGCTCCAAAAAATCCTTATGAAAGAAAATCTGATTAAAAATACACTTTTAATACATCTCATTAAAATACACAATATTAAGCAATGAAAAATCCTGCGAGTCATTACGATAGTATAAGATACTGATTAGCCAGTTGAAATTATCATTTCACGTCTGCAATAAGTTGTCATTTGAATTTTTTAAATATTAATAATGGAACATTATTATTGCAGACTCTGATGCGAGGTCCACAAAAATAAACTTCATAAACTTGAATAAGTTTCTACGACTCACTGATATTACAATATATCATCTATATCATTCTATATACCAAAATGGATATAGTTTACAGATGCTTAGTATTCAATTAATTTAGACATTCTTTTTTTTTCTTTTAAAAATATTTAAACTCTTTATACACCACATACTACTACATTAATTTGTATTGCTTAAATTAATTAGATTGATTTATACTGCTTAAATATTAAAAAGATATGTGATATTTCATAACAAAATTCATAAACATATTAATTTAAATAAAATTTTGATTTACATTTATGATTTTACATGCAATTCTATTGAAGCAAAAGCCATTTTTTTTTTCTTTCTCATAAAAACATTTCAACATTTAATCCAATATCTTAAGGTACTTTTTAATTATAAACATACAAGTGAACATTTTGGGAAATATATGACAAAAAAAGTTTTATTTTAAAGATGTTTTAAAGCATGAACATTATACGAGAAATCTTGTAGCATATCCAAAAATATATTATAAAATTCCCTGAAAACAAAGTGAGATCATAACTATGCAATCTACCCCAATGAGCACCATATCATGCTATAAAAAATTCTTATGAAAGAACATCTGATTAAATATACACTGTAAATTTATTTAATAATAGACAAATAGTAAAAGATGCATGCAGTATTAAGCAATGAAAAATCCAGCATATCATTACAATGTTATAAGATATTAATTATTAAGTTAAACATCATTAATTCACATCAACAAGAAGTTTGCCATTCAAATTTTTGAAATATGAATGCCAAAACAGGCTTATCATTGTAGCCCCTGATTTGAGGTCTACAAAAATAAACATGATTTAGCTAGTTGATTTGGCTTACGGCAAAGGATTTCGATTAATGTGCCTTGAACTACTACTTTGTTTTGTTTTTTTTATCCAATCTATTAATGCTTGACAGTCTGAATCTGATTTAAATCCAGGTGGTTGTTCCATATAAATTGGTTTATTCAAGTATCCATTTAAATATGCAGTTTTTACATCAAAAATCTTATTTTGTAGTTTTCGTAAACATCGTAATTTTCTTATTGATAGATCTTTCAACTAATTTCCAGACTTCATGAGCCTCCATTGAACTTAGTTCTTCTATCATTTCATACATCATACTACATAATCTTTTTTCATTGTTCTCGCTCGTCTTTTCTTCTGCTTTAGTTTTGGTAAAAATTGCTTTTAAATCATGATCTACAATTTGTTTATCTTAAAGCTTGTATAATTGAAGCTATATCTTTCTCTTTATTACTTTTGATAATTTTAACAACAATCAACTTTAACGTCCTTCTAGTATGAAGTAAATTAATTTTTTATCTCTTATTTCATCCCAACTTGAATGCTTTTACTTTTCAGAATTACAGCTGTATTCATGTAAGCATCTACAGATTCGTTTTGACTCATTTTCAGTTGAGCTAATTCTTTCTACATTTGATATGAATATCTTCTGTTCTTGCCGCCATTTCATTTTTTATTTTCTCCCATCATTTCTTTGTATTCTGTTCATTCACATATTTTAACGCTTATGGAGCTGTCACAGTCTAATTCATTAGATTTCTTGCTATCGCATTATCATCCCATATTTCCCAAGTTTTTATTTCACTTTTAAAATTAACATCTTCCTTTTTTGTTGGTTCATCAGCTTCTATCACACTTGTCAATATTTTCAAACTTAATTAACTTTTGATTCTATTTGATCATATAAGGTAATTATCAATTCTATTTGCCTCTATAAGGTAATTATCAGCCAGCCCGTTCGCCGAGATTGGAACTCCAGACCAAACTATCAGTTTTCAGCTATTTTACCACTCAGCCACTAGTAGGCAGCAGCAAGTTTCTATGGCTCAGTTATGCACAGTTTGCAAATACTAATTATTTAACTTTAAAATTACATAAAAAATTCACCTAAATTCCAGAATTATTTAATTTACCCATTTTTCTTTTTTGGTCATTGGTTTCCTTTAAATTGTTATTTTTAACCTTACAGTAAATATTCTGCAATATATTGGAAATGCATGTGACACAACTTTTCAACAAAATCATGCAATGATTTGCCACATTCACAAATACTATCATTCCAAATAATCCTGTTTTCAACTTTCTCTGTGATGAGACTTATTAATATAGAAATGTTGATTTTTTGATGAAATATATAATTTCTCATACATTTCAGATATTAGGATTGAAAATATTTTAAATGCAGAGGTATTAATGAAAAGCACGAATTCTGTTGGCCAAAATAAACCACCTCGATCAATAGCAGCTAAGTACGCAAAATCTTCCCAATATTCAACTATCAATTTCTTTGTCAAGAATTAATTTTTTCCTGCAGAGATTACAATTTATATGCTTCAATACAGATCTACAAACATATCCAGAAATGTAAATTAGACACATTGTATCTTTTTCTGTAACATTAACATCATTGGATTGATGCAAAACATCAACCAAATTCCTTATCAATAAGTTGATCATCATTAAAATCTTCAATATCATTACAAGAAAAATGTTGTAAAATAAATGAACCTTTCTCAGAAATTGCATTTTAAGCAAACTAATTAATTTTAGTTTTCTTTCCGACTCTATAATCTGCTGTAAGGATACATTATAATTACAGCCACTCATTTGTTGAAATTGACCAAAACGTCCCTCAAGGTTATCTGTCTGAAATTTTCCTGAAGGAATAAAAGGTAATTTAAATTCTTTTAACAAATACTTTGAAAGTTCATTCAATGTTGCTGTTGTATGGAGAAGAGCAACTTGGGCTTCTTTTGACAGTTTCCCCAATTTGTGACTTACAATTTTTTGTTGTTGGGCAAAAATCGTTCCATGATATAAGCCACGAACAAAACTGTGATAAACATTCTAAGCTTTTATCTTCTGGTTGTCCTTATAGGCTGCATAAATACATCTCGAAACTGTAAGGCCTTTTTAGAGTGTTTAACATTCACAATTTTCCACCACTTTAAAATTACATCAATAAAATGTTTAGTTCTTAAGACATCTTTTCCATACCGAGTTCTATTATTCTGCGATTCAATTTGCAGAGCAGCTAAAGTCTTTTCATCAAAAAGTTTAATAGCAGTACTTACATTCTGTTCCTCTATAGAAGACGGAAATAAAACTTTCCTTGATAAAGTTGGAGCCATTTTAATATTATCGTTTTTTTCTATTTTATACAATTTTTTTAAATGTAGAACACTGGAATTGTAAACAATATTTGAGTTTTCAAATGACGGTATAAAAAATGTTTGGTTTGAATCGTTCTGATTGAACCAGTTGTTTCGTATAGATTTCGATAAATGAACTGGCTTTAGAGTAGAATTGGGTGCCCCTTCGATTGGCGACATTTTAAAAAAAATTTTGGCGATGAAACCTCACTTCTGGTTACCACAATAGTTTTAAATTTGTTTTAGCTTCCTGATTTTATTTAAATGAAAATAGATTGATGTGTACATGGACATATTTAAGGCGCAATGCCTAGTTTGTGCAATTCTAGGATGTTTTTTTAAGTAAAAACAGATCGATGTGTACATAGACACAGATCTTATGCAATTCTTCGACTTCTTATTTTGGTTTTGTGTAGCGGCCATCTTGAAATTGTGACTTCCTGGCGCCGATCTTGGCGTCAAGAAAGAATCGCCAATAAACGAGGGGCACCCAATTGTAAACTTTTACCAATGAACTGTATCAAATAATGTAAATATAGGAAGATTATGCATGGTAGGGTTTATAAATGAGGATTTTAATGCACCACCACAAAGCATTTTGAACATATTTCTGTTAATTCTATTATTGTCTTATATTAGAGTTATGATTCGATAGCCACAAGACTGTACATGGTCAATTACTTGTTTTGTAAATATTAATAATTGATGTGATGATAAGTTTTTTACGGGAAACATTGCTACAATATCTCTGTCTTTTGCTAATATAGCTTATCATAAATGTTTACAGCGTTGTGGCCTCCATCTGCGAATTACCCGAAAAACCTAAAACACGACCACTTTTATACGAAACTTGTGGTTTTATATATATCTCATCTAATAATAAATTGACAATTTTTTCAGAATCATTTAAAATTTCACATTTTTTTTTTTTTTTTTTTTTTCAAATACATCCAGTGACTTGTTTGTAATCCAGAATCTGCTCGGCCAATTTTCAGAGATAACTTCCTTAAGTATGACGGATGAGGCAATATAAAATACTTACTGTTACGTATAATATTGTAGCTGTTTGGATTACAATAAAATATATAACAAGACCAGGCAAAGAATTCTGCACTATACGAATGCTGTTTCATTTGCATTAATTGAATCTGTTCATACAAAAAAACTTAAATTTCTCAGAATGTGGATTATTTT